AGATTGATCTTACCACTCATACCCACAGCCCCACCCTGCCCGGCCACCTTCCACTGGGTTGCGGACGTCGGTTGTGTGGTTGTGGTTGAGAACGGCGTCCCGTACGACGTCGCCCAGGCCTCGTGCCCTGGAGGCTCCCAGCTCGTCTCTCTCTACGCCGACAACTTCCAGAAGCTCGCTGCCTACGTCAAGCAAAAATCTTTCCTATCATGTACGGGAAAATACATTTTTATGTTTTTTAAAGAAATCTTATTCGCAAGTGCGCAAGAATATATCTCAACACCTTTTTGTTTCACACACCTTCTTACAAGAATTTAACTTTTACTCCCGAGTTTTCTTGTCTTATCTCATCTGGTTGGTGTAATATATTCAACAATGCATTATCAGACCAAAATGTAGCATTTTCAGTTCAATTGTAAAAATTACCCATAATATTGTGACACTCCGCTTCTTCCATAACAGCTGGCTTTGCGTTTGGTAACTATTACGTGGGCGTCCACCGCGACAACCTCGTGTGGACTTGGCGCACCGGCCAAGTCATGTCCGGCGTGCCTGGTTCAGGACTTTGGGGACCGCTCGAGCCCAACGATAACTCAGACTGTGGAATTCTCGTTTTCTACAATTCTAGCTCAGTGCCTGCTCTCGGGGACTTTCCATGCACCAAAAAAAGTTGGTATGTTTGTGCGCTGCAGTGATGACAAGCGCAGTGTTCAAGAAACGGCAGTTGCAGTGGTCTAGCAATCACAAGTAACTAGTGGGGATTCTTTACTTATTAGTAACAATGATTCATTTACAAAGTGCGTGAGAAATGAGTAAGACACCATTGATACGGGATGGTAATACATGAGCGATGCGATACAGGTAAAGTTAAGACATCGACCAATAGGTCGAAGTAGCTCTAACGCTAGTTGCATTGCGGAGTGCGTACTTGTCAGGTAATGGGGGCCTTACTAAGGTTCCCAGACCATTTATAGAATCACGGCATCGGCCACATACTGAGGTATTGATTGCGTGATCTTTCGCGTGATGCTGTCCTTGCTGACTCAGGTCTGGTACTTTTCCATCAGTCTCTGCCACTTCTAGTGAATATTACGTCTAAATTACAATGAATAGAATTAGACGCCTGTTTGACACCGGACACTATCATGCAGGCGGAATTCTTCACGTTTTTTTTCTGGCGGCCGATTTCTCGTGTAAGCAAGCCCATGTTCAAGTGTCTCCTTCCTGTCCCTCCTTTCCACCTGTCCCTCCTTTTCACATGTCGCTCCTTTTCACCCGTCTCTCCTTTTCACCCGTCCCTCCTTTTCATCCGTCCCTCCTTTTCACCTGTCCCTCCTTTTCACCTGTCCCTCCCTTTCACCTGTCTCTCCTTTTCCCCTGTCCCTCCTTTTCACCTGTCCGTCCTTATCCTTTTCACCTGTCCCTCCTTTTCACCTGTCCTTCCTTTTCACCTGTCCCTCCTTTTCACCTGCCCCTCCTTTTCACCTGTCCCTCCTTTTCATCTGTCCTTCCTTTTCACCTGTCCCTCCTTTTCACCTGTCACTCCTTTTCACCTGTCCTTCTTTTTCACCTGTCCCTCAATGTCACCTGTCCCTCAATGTCACCGGTCCCTCAATGTCACCTGTCCCTCAATGTCACCTGTCCCTCTATGTCACCTGTCCCTCCTGTTCACATGTCCTTCATTGTCACCTGTCCTTCAATGTCACCTGTCCCCCAATGTCACCTGTCCCTCCATGCATTTCACTTCGTCTCATTGAGATGCCAACGCTGCTTCTTTCGAGCCAGCATAAGCGGGTTAGGCCTTTGAAACGTCCCGTCCATGTGGGTGATGAATAATATGAACAAGTTTCAATAATTGATACTTTTCACCTTGCTAGCGATATAAATTTTTGGCCTCCGGTGCGAAATAGCCTGATAGCTGAATCTCTAGCAAACCACCCTTGTACTACTACTACAGGGTGCGCCACAGAAACTTACTTATTTGAAAGGTCAATAAAAACAAAAGTACTTCAGTTATTGTTTTAAATTTTTTTTATTCGAGAAAACAGTATCCCAAATTTTTTTTCATACAGTTTTGAAAATTAAATCTCATGAATGACGGCCTCCATTGTGCATAAACTAATGAAGTCGCTTTTTTATAATGGTTTCCACTCTATGCAGCATATCAATCGGTATTTTTGCAATGACGTCGCGAATGTTGTTCTTGAGGTGTGCTATGGTCCGTGGTCGATCGACATAAACCAGAAATTTCAAATATCCCCATAAAAAGAAATCGCATGGAGTCAAACCTGGAGAGCGTAGCGGCCATTGGAGATCGCCTCTGAGAGAGATGAGGCGGTCGGGGAAATGCTGTCGCAACAAATTCATCGAGTCTCGTGCTGTATGAGTTGTGGCTCCATCTTTCTGAAACCACACGTTCCTAAAGTTCATTTCTTCGAGTCTTGGGAGAAAAAGTTCCTCGATCATGTTCCTGTAACGAGCTCCATTAACGGTAACTGCGCGTTCGTTTTCTTAAAAAAATAAGGACCAATTATTCCCATTACTGACGTCGCACACCAGACAGTAACTCGCTCACAGTTAAGTGGCTTCTGGTGAAACTCACGTGGATTTACATTACACCAATAACGCATGTTTAGCCTGTTGACGCAGCCGGAAATGTGGAAGTGAGCCTCGCCACTGAAAAAAACGACCGCGTCTTCAGGCAGGTTGTCAACCAGCATTTTACATGCATTTTGACGGGCAACAAAATCGCGTTCAGTTAATTCTTGCACTACAGCAAATTTATTTGAGAAACTTTGAGAAACAAACTTGGGAACNCCCACCAAGTAGCCATCACTCGCATCCGACTAGAATCTTGCCTCATTACACACAGTCACTTGTTTACAAAGTCCTTACCTCGCACCTGCTCCTCCTGCCAATGCCTACAAACAATGAAACACATTCTCATAGATTGCCCACTATACACCCCTCAGCAACGTAGCCTACGCTCTGCCTGTCAGCAGTTAAACCTTCCCTTCTCACTGAACACAATTCTCCTGCCACCCTTTGACCCAGAACTGATAATACAATTTCTGCTTAAGACTCACCTACTGCAATCGATCTGAAATAAGGCGGAGTGGGGGCGCTAATACCTACGTCGGTGCTGCGCCGTATCTTAACAAAGTAACAAAGTAAGTAAATTAACCAGCGAGCTAATGAGAAGTAAGCCACCAATACAATCCCATGCCGTCTAACCTAATCACGATTTTCGGTAAGCAACTCCCTACCTACGCCATACCGCTGTTGATACACAGCCAGCACTCCAACCCGTCCGTTCGTCGCAGCTGTTTTCCCCCGCCATAACTCTACCTCCACGCATACCCCATCTCCCCGCCTTTTTTCACTGACTGCCGGACGGTTTTTCTTAGTTTCTGCTCACTTGACTGCATTACGCTATGAAAAGAGGATCTATAGGAGTTGTAAATTAACCTAACCTAACTTAACCTAACCTAATTCGGATAAGCATCAAAGGTCTGCGAGAAAAGCCTTCAGTTAGTCATGCGATAATGGTGGAGAGTCAGGGGAAGAAGATGCTGGGGGATAGTAAGGCAGGGAAACAGTGACGCGGGGTTAACGTCTTGTGGATTAAGTAAGGTGATGACGCATTACCGTTTGGTACAGTTCACATTTGCGACAATGCAGTGTGGTCAGCGACACTTAGGATAACAGCATGTGTAAGAAGTGATGGTATGGGTTATAAAGCATTGGAGAACGAACAACGTATTGACCGTTAACTATGTGGAGTAGTAGCTTGTGTGCTGAAGAGCAGTGTTGGTTTAAAGTTCGTGTGGTGAGATAGGTCAATTGACTACAGCTGCTTAGGTGCCAGGATGACAATATCTATAGCATTTAGATGGTTGATGTTGGCTCCAGGGCTGATTTGAGCGTTAATTTGCTGGTCTACGGCTGCGCACCCGCTTGAACGGGGTACGAGCACCCAGTTGCACGACGCGAGGTGAGGCCGCCAGGTTTCTTGTCACAAGCCTGGAAGGATAATGAAATATCCCTAAAAGTCAGAAAGACGGGGGTCGTATGCAAATAGTAAACTGATTTACTAGCGCTTCAGCTAACCAACTTTTTTCTAGCGGAAGTAGGAAATGAACATCGTCAACAAGGCGGAGCATATCTATTATTGAAAATTTGTACCAGGCATCACTCGCCACAGGAGGAAGGTCCCAAACAACCAGGCTGCGGAGGCTAGCAAGAAAGAAGTGTTAGCATCTAAAACAAACGAATTGACCAGGAGGGTTGGGTGAACATCAAACGCAAAAAAGACAAAAAGGTCACTTACACGAGACGTCACTAGGAACAAAGAAAGAAAGGTAAGGATCCCTGCCTACGGTACATAGAAATTTAACCCTGGTATTGCATAGCTATTCCTGATATAGCATAACTATACGTACATTTTTGTCCTCACACATTCATAGCTCGTACGACAAAAAACTATTCCGAGCTACAAGCTAAGAATCGTTTTCAATTTAGCCACAATTCAAGTAGTGTTGCTTACTTGGAAATTCGTTAGGTACCAGAAATGCGATTTTCATAGATGATTTTGAAAAACAACACCCTCATTTAACGGCAATTTTTCCGAAACGTCTTGCTAGTTATGAGACTTGCAGAATTTTTTATATTTTTACCAAATCAATGAATGAAAACCAAGAAAAAACTTGATTGCCAGAATATGCATATAGATTATTACCATCTATGTGAGCAAGCTACTGACACTACTTTTCGAAGGACCACGTTCAATCAGCACTTCGAGAGCTAAGCACAATTTTTTTTCCTTCACGAAGGCGCTGAAATGAATGAAAGATCTTTTTCGCTCATATTTTATTAAGAAAATGATTCCTTAAACATCAAAACAAAATTGAAACGAAAATGAAATGTGATGAGCAGAAAAACCTCATTACAAATTAAAAGATTCATTATCACAAATTCGTGATAATGTTCACCATATAAGGCAAAAATCAGAGAACCATTGATGCATTTAATATGAATGATGAAAAAAAAACTAGACATTTATTGTATGATGCAAGAAAACTTATATCCTTGTATGCAGAACTGAAACCTGCCTGCTATTTGTAGCGAGACAAACGAAACCCTAAAACTCCGCGTCAATCAAAGTCAAAAGACAAATTGCATTCGAATAGCAGCAATTTGTCGGTTGTTAGGTCTGAAAGTCGAACTGTTGCCAAGCTAGAATCATAACATTAAATGTTAACACTTTATCTACAAGGGCTTTTCATTTGTTTTTTGAAGAACTTGGTTATTTTATAACCATGAGGCGAGGGGCGATATTCATGCACATCAGTTCTTGCCATAACAGCTTGCAAGCGTACGGGAGTTTAACCAGGGAAATCTGGAAAAAAAAAAATTATTTAATAGATTTAAAATATCTGGGGATAAAGTTCATAATACAAGTTATGACAAAGCTCCCGAATGTCTCAGAGTATTTTTGAAATATTGAAACGCAGACTGTTGTGCATCAGCAAACGCTCATTAATTAACCCAGAATTGAAGCAAGGGAATTTGAGTAATTTAAATCTCCTACTGTGGTCAATTTTCATACCTGTGTCTTGTTTCTGCAGCCCTTGCACTCGAAGGTATTGTTTCTGAGGTTTGCGATGCACATGAGACCACACAAGTTGCAAACGTGGATGCTGTACGGATCGCTCACTTCGAAGAGACGTTCTCTCAAGAATTGGGCAGCACCGTGGGCGATCTGACAATCACGCTCCATCTCCCCGAAACGCAAACCACCTTCTCTGCATTCCAAAAAATTACAGCGTTTCAGGCTTAGTTCTGAAGCATTAGTAGTATCATATTACCAATATCACCGTTGAGGTACTCTATAGTACCTAATTATGAAAAAAGTGGTAGACATTTCAAAATAATTCATCGAAAAGTAAATGCTCTTGTCAGAAGCAATGCATATTTACACAGCCTGGTAAAAAAAACACGCACGAAATTCAGCAAGGACTCACCTCGCCCTGCCCTCCATGGGTTGCCTAACGAGAATCTGCACAGGTCCTCTGGCTCTGGAGTGAATTTTGTCATCCACCATGTGTTTCAGTCGCTGGTAATATGTGGGGCCCAAGAAAATCTGGGCAGCCATCTTGCGACCAGTGTGACCGCAGTACATGACCTGCAAGAAGTATATACTCAATTTACGAATCACTATTCATTACTGAAGGAAAGATCAATCAAAATGAGCATCAACCTCGATATCGAATAAGTGACGGATATAATTCTAAGTAATAGCAAATCAATCACTTTAACAGTCCAATATGAACATATACAATAAACTCACATCACCTAGCAAGCCTGTATTGAGACAAGGCAATTATAACCAACGTGTACCATAAGTAAATAAATATATAAACTTCATTTCATGCACTTTACAATTAGTTTACTATAGCTCTGCAATCTAACTTCAGTCAAATTACATACTTAATAAATATCAGGTTTCAACTGACCAGCTCAAGGTGAGCTTCTCACAAAAAGTACGAACCTCGTTGCCTCTGAGATTGTAGCCGTAATCGTGCAGTAGAGTTGAGATTTTATTGACGTTGACGGCATCGTTGAATGGCGTGGCGTCGCCAATTTCTCCTTTGATGGCACCGAGTTTTCCTTGGATGCACTCGATAAGATGGCCAATAGTCATACGTGACGGAATGGCATGCGGGTTAATAACGATGTCGGGTGTGACGCCTTCAGCGGTGAACAAAATGTCCTGCAAGAAGTAACTTGATGAGGTATTTAAATTGAAAAGATTGCAGGATGATTAAAAAATAAAAATTACAATAAAGAATGAGCAAGGCAGTAATTGGAATGTACGGAATAACAATAAACAAATTTCGATAATGACGTATGAGGAAGCAACTGTTCTATTAACCAGAAACTTGTACTGAAATTAAAGAAAATAGAAGCTAAAATATTTGAAACAGTATCATATGTTTCATGTTTTTTCAATAGTAAACGAACCTCCATACGATATTGGATGCCACAGGTTCCTTTCTGTCCATGCCTGGAAGCAAATTTGTCGCCAATCTGAGGGATGCGGACAGAACGCACGCGGATCTTGGTGAAGCGATCGCCGTCGATGTTGACGGTCAGCATGACCTGAGAAACGGTGCGTTACTTCTGAAGATCCACTCAAGAAGATTGCAAACAAACACGTAAAAAATGTAACATGGAGTGAGTGACAGAGAGAGCATTTTCTCGTCAACGAAAACGTGGAGTCACGGACGGACAGACAGACAGACAGACGGACATGACGAGCACAATAGCGCCTTTTTTCCATAAATGAGAAAAATGCGCTAAAAAGAGTCATGGACAACCATTTGATGTACTTTAAAAATTGAAAATTTAATTGACTTTTTGCAAGACCATCATGTTGGCCATCAGCTGAGGTTTGTGAAGCCATTGTGAGATGCCCACATTTTCAGGAGCTGGCATTATTGCAGGAGAAACAATTATGTTGTCAGCATCGTGCATGTTTTTCATTTGCATTAGTCACGACATGGTAAATATTTTTTAGTCTTAGCCAATCCAATTCCCAAAAAATATACCTACAAAGAAATTTTACGAATAGATTCCAAATTCTACAAAGCAGATTTGCAAATGTAATCGAAACTCTACATAGAAGGTTTACAAATAGATTCTCTACAGAGTTAAGAAGGCGGCACGAACCTGATCAACAATACCGGTCTCAGAGCCTCGCAAGAAGGAGGAGGCATCTCTCTTAGTGAAGCGACGAGTTTGGCCCTCGAGTTCATCCTCGTTTTCAGGCAAGGAGATCGTCTTGCCGATGATGACGTCATCACCGGACACGCGCATTCCAGGAGCAATGATTCCTATACAGAACGTCAATGTTCAAATAAAATGTAATAATTTTTATCACCTAAGGTCCTAAACAATTTATTTGATCACATGAACTACCTTCATTCATTTCCTGCCTGAACTCAGTGAAACAAGAGCCGTGAAAACGACAAGTATAAAGTTTTCACGAGGAATATGAACACTGTAAAATCGGTGCATTTAGTACACGCTGGATAAATTTCACACGAATTAGATTCCCTTATATCCAAGAAATAGAGCGATAAATATCGAGGGAGTCAGCGTTGGTTAATTCACAATAATGTACACAATTTACAAATTTCACTCTTGAAAATTAATCACATAATCGACATCAATTATGGTGCTGTGTGACTTAAACGCAGCTGGGAACTTCAAAAGTAATCGTGATTGTTAACTCACCATCGTCATCGAGCTTGTCGTAGATGGCGTGACGCATGCCCTGAGTGGTATCCCTGGAAGGTTTCTCAAACACCTGCCACAAAATTTATGACATTGTTTAACAGATTCTATAAATGATGAGATAATGGTGCCAGTTGAATTAAAGTCGACAAAAATAAAAACCACAATACTAATCAAGGTCAACAAAGAATAGTAAGCAAAACTTGCCTCATCTTGCATGCCCTGTCGTCGGCTCTCGGCTTCTTTGTATGATCTGTAGAAACACGATCTGAAGAAGCCTCTCTCCACAGTCGAGAGATTCATGATGACGGAATCTTCTTGGTTGTATCCACCATAGCAGGCAATTCCGACAATGCTGTTAATACCGGCAGGCAGTTCTCTGAAACGCAGATATTCCATGGAACGCGTAGTGACCATGGGCTTCTGAGGGTAGAACAACACGTGAGCAAGAGTGTCCATTCGCACGTGGAAGTTTGTGATGTAGACACCCATAGCTTGCTTACCCATAGCACTTTGGTAAGTGTTCCTGGGAGACTGATTGTGATCTGGGAAAGGAATAATGGAGGCACACACGCCCAAGATCATGGCGGTGTGAATCTCGCAGTGTGTGTATGTGTTACAGTAAGGTTTGTCTTCACCATCTTGGTTGAGCTCTGCCAATTCCATAGCGATCATGATGGTCTCTTCTTCAGCACAGTCGATGTATTCTACGACGCCGCTGGCAACTAGGTCCTGCCAGCTGAAGTTGGTATACTCCCTCTCCTTCAGTTGATCGATGTGGCGTTTCTTCAGTAGCAGCAAACCACTCTCGACGACGAGCAGCGGACGGCAAATACGGCCGGCGTCAGTGTAGATTCGAATTTCCTTGTCACGAATATCGCGCACCATGCAAACTTCTGACACGATGATATCCATCTGTCTTCGTAACTTTCGCAAGGTCACCATGAGCTGCTCGGGATCGCGATGAATTCCTACCCAGCAACCGTTGACGAATATTTTAGTGGCGTCGTGAATAGAACTTGATGCGATCTCCTCTAGGTTCTCCATTGACCACTCCTCCAAGAATTCAAGGATGGGTGCAGGCTGAGATCCAACGGAAATGTAGGACATGAGAGCAAGGTTTTTGACAAGGCCCACGGCGGCACCTTCAGGAGTCTCGGCAGGGCATATCATTCCCCACAGGGTGTTGTGCAGCTGACGAGGCTTGGCAAGCTTGCCGTCGCGACCAATGGGCGAGTTGACACGACGCAAATGCGACAGGGTCGACGCAAAAGTCAAGCGGTTCAACACCTGCAAACAACAGTACATGTAGTCACGTCAGTTTCAAATATAAATAAGCAATAATTAAAGCATGCATGCAAACAGCAAGCTGAAACTTATAAATCGATGATTATGAATCAATTAGCACATATAAAAATTAAAAATTAGGCTTCAGGGAGCGAATAATTTGGTCTTTGTGTACACACATGAAACTCAAGGCAGCTGTGTGAATAGAATTTAATTACCAAAGTTGGCTACTAATTTTCAAATTTTTAGATGAAATGAGAGAAGATTGTTTGGAATAAACTTAGAACAGATAACTATTATTATGAACAAAGTCAAGAGCTATCCTCTTGCTGTCAGCACCGGGTGAGTGCCGGGTAACTAAACAAATAATATTGCTACTAAGACATTGGTTAATCTTCTATAACTTAGAACAGATAACTATTATTATGAACAAAGTCAAGAGCTATCCTCTTGCGGTCAGCACCGGGTGAGTGCCGGGTAACTATACACTCAACAACGGGTAACTAAACAACACAACTAAACAAGAAACTATGATGACTTGAACCTGAGACACGCCCGCTCTGGCCTGATGAGCCTTCTTCTGGTCGCCCCAGTTGCCCGTGGCCAGAGAGTAGCGCAGCCCGTCGGTGATGAGCTTTGGTTTGACAGCGGCATCGAGGGCATAGTCTGAGCCTTTGTCCAGCAGCTTCTGAGCATGCATGCGCACCTCTTTCAGCAGGTTGCGGAACAGCCTGAGAATACACGAACGTTAAACTCACTAATGAAGAAATACATTAATTTATATTCATGAGTGCCATACATATTAGCTATAGTATTTTTCGTTAAATCACCAATAGCCAATTTCTTTGTATGAAGGCATTGATGAGATCATAAAAGTATTAGGAATATATGAAATTTGGCCTACATTGAAATTTTATTATAAGATACGGCGAAATGCAATAAAAATCGGGAGGGAAGACACTGGAACTACATGGAATACCCTACTAACATAAAAACTTTCTCCTATTCATAAGAATTTTAATTATCTTTTTTAAAAAAATTTTACATCAACAAAATGTATGAGCCTTCGAAATAGACCTAAATTTAGTAAAAAATTTTGCTCCTATCACACAACAAAACTCGTTCACCTCAACCATAAAATACAGAGGAAAATTTTTTTAACGAATCCAGTTGGTAATACGAAGCTGGGGAAATAATTACGTCCACTGAACTTAGTAGCCAAGTTCTCACCCTCTGAAGAGCAGAGCCATGAGGGGACCCGCCAGGTCGAGGCGTTTGTTGCCGTAGTGATCGCGGTCATCCAGCTCACGACGACCGAGCGAAGCCAATAGTAGCCTGGCAGGAACATTGCAAATAATATTTTCATCAACTTATTAAGCTGACCAAAATTTATGTTATTAACTCTAGGTGAGATAAATTTTTTTTTTGAAACTACAGGGTTAACTGTTAGAGCTGGTACTCCTTGCATTTTGTCCAAATTTCGAGAATCAATCCTCACAAACAATTGAACCAACCAACCTAGTCCTGAACCAAGACGGAATGCGTCCACTTGGTTTATGGCACAGACATACTTCATTTTTAACAAAGACAAACAAAGTTTCATCGACAATAGCTTCTAAATGACCTATCAAGATTATATACATTACCTGTGAACCATGTAACCAAGAAAATATGCTTTCTTAGTTTCACAGAAATCGGAGACGCCGACGTGTGGCAACATTTCTTTTTGAAGAATTTCTTTTGCATACTTGATTCTCTTCTCCTTCGTGACACCAGGTCGTGCACCACGGCCTCCAATGAAGTTAAGAGCCACGTTTTGTTCTTGGATGACAAAAGCTTCATCCAGTGAAGGTTTCACCTAGGCGCAAAGAGTATTCACATCACACTACAATAATTGATGAAGTAGAGCACGACTGAGACTACTTGAAACTCAGCAACGCCAATGTCAAATTTAGCTATTAATTGTGACAACTCATTACGGTTTAAAGCAAACCAATCGTATCAAGCTTACAATTCAGCATTTAGTCACATACATTTGGGCTTTAGGCTATAATTTGGAGAAATAAAAATGACGAAATCGAGTCAAAACCTTGCATCTGAAAAATTTCTAATGTATTTTGAATGCAGTGCAAAAGAAATTGCTGGTCAGCAATATTCGTTCATATGAATAAACTATTCTGCTCATAAACAAAAGAACACTACAAACCATTTCCATCATTTCAGGATCATCGAAGTCATAGATGATGTGTTCCAGGATGTCTCTGTCGGCCACGAACCCGAGCGCTCTGAACACAATCATGACGGGAATCTCTTGCTTCACGTACGGCAAGATGGCAATGATCCGTTGCCCAATGGCAGCTTTTTTGGCACTCTGAAATAAACAATAGAATCTGAACCATGCAAACATCAAATAAAGCAATTAATATTGCAATTTTTTCAAAAAGTTATACAAAATATACTAATAGCACGCCTAGTTAAACAACATATACTAAGAGCACAGTTGATGAACAAAGTCGAACATAGCCAAATCTCAGGGTATAGCATATAACATGAAATTATTCAATACCTCAGACATTTTGTTCTATTTTAAACTACTAGAAAATAACTCACACTTCCACCTCTCGCCATCATGTTGACCCAGAGAGTGGAGACAGGTCGAGCCGAGTGTTCAATACAAGATCTAATCTCACACTTGTATGCATATTTGCCATCTTTCATGCTGAACACATATACAGTGTTGGTAGCCATCTTTTCTTGAGCAATGAGCACCTAGAAAATGGAAACAATGCATGTCTTTATTGACAATACATTAAAAGCATATTAAACATTTTTTCCCACATAATAAGCTCGGAAATTAGTATCAGGTTTAAAAGAAACTGACATTTTATAAAACACAAAATAGGTAGCAATTTCTAAAGCCAAGTAGTGGATAAGAAATGAGAGTATGTAAGAAACAGGTCAGAGGAATTTGATCACCTTCTCAGAGCCGTTGATAACGAAGTATCCGCCAGGATCCAAAGGGCACTCATTGACCTCATTCAAGTCACGATCTGCGAGGTCACTGAGCAAGCAGTAGGCTGACCGGAGCATGATGGGGATTTTACCTGCAATCAAATGGATTCATTTACAACTACAACTAAAACATAAATGATCTCACTATAGTAATTTACAAAACCTCAAAACTGATCATCAGCTGTCAATGAAGGCCAGATTGATCTTAGGACAAAAAAAATGTCAACCAAACTAAAAGGAAATGGAACCATACCAAAAATGATGCCCTTCAGCAAGGGGGGGAATCTAGTACAACTCACAATCAATTGATGGGTTGGGAATAAAAAATTTTCAACAGTAAAAAAATGAATTGTAACTGAAAAAATAATGATTTTCAACAATGAAAACTAAGATTACAACCAAAATTTAAATTGAGTGATTAAGTGGATTTGAAAGTAGAACAAATCTCACTCACCAATGTAGACTTTTTCAGACTTCTTCTCTGTGGGCTCTTCTCCATCTCTGAAGATAGTTTTCACAATATCTACATACAGTGGTGAAGAGTATGTCAAATTCCTGAGTCGGGCTTCATTTGGCATCATGTTGTAATTGTAGCCATCTTTCTCCCAGTTTGTTGGTTTGCTCAGGTAAATTTGCTCAAATTTTAGCACATGCCGTGGCTAAAAATAAAGGGCGATGACAGAAAATGCTATGATAAAGAACAAAAATCTTATATGGAAAATTTGAAGGGCATCAAGCAATAGAAAAAAATGTCTATCCAAAATTTTTTGTTAGACAATATATAAAGTTTGACAATTTTTCATAATAATTTCATTAAATATAATTTGAAATTTCAACAGATCTACTGGACTCACTGGAGTATCAAGTTCTCCAGAGGTGTGTTGAGCCTCAGCTTGTAAGTCAATATCCAGGGAGTCTTCAACTATCCGCTGGATGGTCATGGTGATGAACTCATCAAAGGAGTCAAGCTGCTGCCGCACCAATCCCTTCTCATCAAAATATGATGAGATGACAAGCCAACAAGCTTCCTGCCACAGCTCAGCAGTAATTTCATCACTTTCATCCTCTCCATAGGTCAAATCTGCAAAAAAAAATTAATTCAATCAACTAAGCACAATTAGAAAAACATGCAGCACATTTGCAGTGATTAGGTTATCATCATCCCATGTCAAATTTTGACAGACTTATTTTTAAGAAGAGATTCATGTGATGACTGCCAGATGAGATGGAAAAAAAACAAGCCTAAAGTTTTATATGCATGTTGTGCTTTTGATATACAGGTTGTGCCAGAGAAACTTACTTATTCGAAAGATCAATAAAAACATAAGTACTTCAATTATTGTTTTAAATTTTTTTATTTGAGAATATGATATCCCAATTTTTATTCATAGTCTTGTAAATGACATTGGATAAATGGCGACCCCCATTGCGCATACACTGATGAAGTCGATTTTAAAAATTTGTATCCACGCTTTGCAGCATATCAATCGGTATGTTGGCAAAGGCATTGCGAATGTTGTTCTTGAAGTGTGCTAAGGTCTGTGGTCAATTGACATAAACCAGAGATTTAAAAAAAAAAAACATAAAAAGAAATCGCATGGAGTAAAATTTGGAGAGCATGGCAGCCATTGGAGATCGCCTCTGAGAGAGAGACGAGGCGGTTGGGGAAATGTTGTCGCAACAAATTCATTGAGTCGTGCTGTGTGTGCTGTGGCTCCATCTTGCTGCAACCACACATTCCTAACATATAAAGTAACAACATTTGGCAAATTTTTCCAAAAGTCGTAACAAAAGTAACAACATAAGATCTAATAAGCAAAAAGTAACACTTTTGTTACGAACACGAACACCTCTGGCTAGAGGCGGGAAAATGATGCGTTGTGAAAAAAAGTCGCGCTAATAAAAACTGGCACCGCGTAGATTAAGGGTAGGTCGCAAATTTTCTTTCCGCGGTAATCAAAACCGCGGTACAGTATTCAAAACCGTGCTAATCAAGGGATTGCTGTAATGCTATTTTTCAATGTAGTTCTAAACTACAGAATTTCAACTTTTCTTGCAATAAAATATTTCTACGCTCTGCCATTTTCTAATTGATACCGTAAAATGGGGTAACTTAGACCACTTTTTTTTTTATAAATGATGCCATTTTTTTACTAGCTAAATTAAACTTGAATTGAAACCTGCAAAATACAGGTCTATACTCTAGCTTCACTCACCATGGGAATTTTTTCAAATAAGTAAGTTTCTTGGGCACATCCTGTACTAACTGAAACTGGATTTTACTGGAACTTAAAAACTCTATTATTTTACCCAAATGTTTTTTTTTTAAACATCAGAGTAGGTTAAAAAAAGCACTACCTATAAGAGCTATTTCAAACAATCAAGAGGATAATATTTTTTCCCTTAGCTCTGCAGACTATAATGCTATTTTTTAACGTAGTTCTGAACTACAGAATTTCAACTTTTCTTGCAATAAAATATTTCCACGCTCTGCCATTTTCTAAGTTATAGCACTCTCCTGGCACAATGTAGCTCCAAAAACTCTCATTTTTAGTGAATCAAAAATTTTACACCTACAAAGTAATTTACTTTAGCATAATCAGAAATTGGGTGGCATGCATATATAGGCATATACATTCAAAGAAAATGTTAAATACCACAGTTCAGTATCACACTCCAGCTCAAAACCTATATTGGAAAATTCCTACTGAAACTTGGTAATTCAAAAGTTATTTGTTGCAATAATATTTCAATTATGCACTTTTATTGACACTTGGATAGAAGATGATTTGTCTAGTGGGATTCTAACAGCTCCAAAAATGGAGGTGAGCTCTAGTCGCAGCTTGAAATTAGATACTTTCCATGCTTCATATCCATCTTCACATTAAAATTAGATTTACAACAGAAAACTCAATAGTAATTTTTGGGTTTTGATACACAATGCAGTTCAAGGAAAGGTCATTCATGGGTTGCTTCTGAGCTTCAGAATGAGTGACTCATGTCAGATTGGAATATTTCTACTTATTATTGAAATCTCAAGGCTCCCAAGTGACAAATGTTTAATACATTTGGAATCCTACTTCCCTTTCCTGCATTTTTGTTTGAATGTGAAGGGCTACATTGCTTGAAAAGCATGCGTGTCAGTGTCAATCATCAGGCATTGGCCAAATAGAATGCAAAGAATATGCCTCAGTGTTGATCATTAGACATCAGCCAAATTGAATGTAAAGTGCATGCATCAGTGTTGATCATAGGACATTGGCCCCATCAATCGTAAAGCTCATGTGTCTGTGTCAAATCGATCATTGGGCATTGGCCACAACGATCATATAATGCGTGCATCTGTGTCGATCATCAGGTATCAACTACATTGATCATAAAGTGCATGTGTCAGTGTAGATCATCTGGCATTGGCCATATCATAAAGTGTGTGCATCTGTGTTGATCATTGAGCATCAGCTGCATCAATTGCAAAGAGTGTGCATCAGTGTCAATCATTGGGCATCAGTGTCAATCATTGGGCATCAGCCAAATTGATCGTAAAGAGCACACGTTCACGTAAATTATTGGGCATCGGCCACATCAATCGTAAAGCGCATGTGTTTGTGTTGATCATTGGGCATTGGTCTGGGTTGGCTGAGTTGCACTCTTGTTTTTATAGCAAGGATACTGGAAACTTTCTCCCTTGACGTACTGGCGCAAATCTCAAAATAAACCTACAGCACACACGCTGCACCTTCCAGACCATGGCAACCAGAACACCAATGTAAGGTCAATGTGGCTGATGAAGATCGCCAAAAATTGCCAATATCTTGAGCTAAAAGGCCCTACTCTACAGCCTGGGCTCAAACTAGGAATTAAGTGGCTATAGCCTATAGCAGGGCTGGAAAAGTCCTATTTTTTCTGAAATATTGCGGCTCTTTTATATAATTTCAGTATGTATGAAATCTCGTGGCTCCAGTGTCATGTATTTTTGTTTGATTGAAAAAATCGCGGTTTGCACTTTGTGAACCCGTCGTTTCATAAAATTTTCAACTTCTGCAATACTTCAATGTTCTTGCCAATATATCCTTTAAAATGTAATAAAAACAAGTCAACTCAAGACAATTCCTTGACGATTGCATAGTTGCGGTCACGTCAGAACTGTCAGACTGCATTATCATGTGTTCAGATGCCACTTAAGTGAAGACAAATGTTAGTGACTTAGTGTTGACTGAGTCTGTTTTTAGGGTAAAATTAGAGATTAGGGGTAACACATGCATGGGACTTTGTAAAAACTTTGCGGCTGCCTGCTTGTAAATATCTTTTCATGGCCGAGATATGGAATTTGTGGCTCAAAGAAATTAGGGTAAACGTGGTACCGTAAAATGGGGTAACTTNTATTTAAAAGTCTCAAACCATAATATTCTTTCTACACAAACAGTTTATCACTATTTGGTAGAACAAGGTCAACTATCAACTTTGACACGTTTTTCGATGATCTCACTGCCTGGTGACGCACCCTGTCTCTCTTTGGATCTCAACATTTTCCCACCAGATGGCCCAGACCTAGTGTTTTGGCAATAGTATGGCGCCGCGCGCAATAGTATGACGTCACTATTTCAACCATCAATGAATGTGTGGAACTAAGACAAAGCTTTATATTATAGTGGCAAACCAGAGATTTTTAGAATCAGTTCATTTTCAATTTCCTCATCTACTCAATATTTTAATCAATTTCTTATGTATGAAAATGCTGGTACCTAATCCAAGATACTTTCCTGGTCTACTTGTAGCTGTAGGAATCAAAAATGAACTTGATGAAGAGTCTAAAAAAATTGTTGCTTTGCCACAATGCTTTATATAAAGGAAAAAAGTTAAGAAGTGTCAGAATTACCCACGATGTCAGAATTACCCACGATGTCAGAATATACCGCGTTTACCCTACCTAAATTCACGGCTCTCAAGAAATGAAATCACAGCTGGCAAATCTAAGATCTTGCCAACACATTTAGATTGAAATTCTTGCATTTAATATATTTGTCAGTCTTCGGCCAACTATTTAGAAAAAAGTAAGGTTTCTGGTACATTGGATGGATCAGGATGCAGTGAAGCTTGTCCGGAAATCAGTTGCAATGAGTTCCTGCCAAAATATCCTATGCACATGTAAACAACAAGTTTATGATTGCATAGTTGCGGTCACGTCAGAACTGTCAGACTGCATTATCATGTGTTCAGATGCCACTTAAGTGAAGACAAATGTTAGTGACAGTGTTGACTGAGTCTGTTTTTAGGGTAAAATTAGAGACTAGGGGTAACACGTGCATGGGACTTTGTAAAAACTTTGCGGCTGCCTGCTCATAAATATCTTTTCATGGCTGAGATATGGAATTTGAGGCTCAGAGAAATTAGGGTAAATGCGGTATATTCCGACACATTAAGGACATAGCAAAAAATGAATGTCTATAAAAAAAATCACCGTATGCGCAACTTGAGTTCTGTTTGCTTTACGTCACTCTCAAAACACCGCACTACGTGCCAGCAACAATGAAACATCACCAAATGTTGCCATATTTATTTAAAAGCTTTTAGAATGCAAACCTATCAAATCCATATATTCCAATGCTGTGTGTAACTAAATTTGGCATTTTGTGAGACTAATTCCGGCCGCGCTTCAAACTCTACTAATTCGTAATTCTGACACTCTTGTTTTCGAATTCCAATCGCTTTGTGAGCTGTATTGGAATATGACACAGCTTGGAATTAGAACACTATTGAATATTGAACACTACTTAATTAGGGTTTGAATTAAGAGCTATTAAGCTTTTAATTAAGAAAATTTTAATTTTTGCACACAGCTTGGAACAAGCTGTGTGTGTCCTACTGTGCAGAGAGTGGATGAATATTGCAAGATCTTTGGCGACGCTTCAGTAGCAAAATTTATGCCTTCAGATAATCTTGCCGACACATTTAGATTGAAATTCTTGCATTTAATATATCTGTCAGTCTTTGGCTAACTATTTAGAAAAAGTAAGGTTTCCGGTATGTTGGATGGATCAGGATGCAAAAAGCTTGTCCAGAAATCAGTAGCGATGAGTTCCTGCCAAAAAATGTAAACAACAAGCTTACAATTGCGTAGTTGCGGACACATTAGAGCGGTCAGACTGCATTACGTATCACATGTTCAGTTGACACTTGCTGTACAATCTGACTGTTTTTAGGGTAAAATTAGTTATTTGGGGTAACACGTGCATGCAACCTCGTAAATAAGTTTGTGGCTTGTAAATAGTTTTTCATTACTCAGTGTCACTGATGACGCGCACTGTCTCTCTTTGGATCTCAAGATTTTCCTGCCAGATGGCCCAGACCTAGTGTTTTGGCAAATGGCAATAGTATGACGCCGCGCCGCCCCCGCCCGCGCGCAATAGTATGACGTCACTATTTCAACCATCAATGAATGCGTGGAACTAAGACAAAGCTTAATATAAAGGAAAAAAGTTGAGAAGTGTCAGAATCACCCACGATGTTGTAACGGAATATACCGCGTTTACCCTACCTAAATTCACAGCTCTAAGAAATGAAATCACAGCTAGCAAATCCAAAAAGCACAGCTCACACAATTCAGTCACAGTTTGCCTGCCAACTTGCCAAGTAGATATTATTCATGCCTGGCCTAGTGGCCTGTAGTACAGGCAAACATGGTGGCAGGGAATTATTGTGAGTACTTATCGGTCCACCGCCGTGCGTCAGTCTTAACCCTTTGCAAGGCCCCATGCCCTTGGGCCCCTCTTGCAAGTTGTAATGGTCTAAACTCAACAGTTCGACCCCTGGCCCCATCCCCATGTTCATAGCTATATTATTGAAAGATAATTAAAGGCATACTGTACTGAGTAATGTGAGTATTACGTCTGTTCCTCCACAAACTGCTCGTGCGCGGCAGGACGACGTAGAATTTATGGCCGGGATTGCGCAAACACGTGCGCGAAGATAATCAATTTTCATTACATTGAGCCAACTGTGCACAGCAAAAGCTTAAAAAAAGTGAAAAATGCGCGGGAAAAATCACCGAAAACATACATCATCCTGAGTGTGGCCTGCCAGGTAAATATATTCCATGCCTGGCCTACAGGCCTAGTGGCCTGTACTACAGCACATAGGCAATTTTTCAATTTTTTAGGAAATTTTCAAAAAATTTCAGAAAAAATTTTTTCTCTACGAAATTTGAAAAAAGGAAATGCCATTAAAAAAGTAAAATTAATTATAAACAGGGATGTTATTCTTGTATTAATGTGTGGCTTCTGCCTGATTTTTCAGAATGACATAGCTTACATCAATATCATCACAAGTTCACAACTGGCAATTGGCAATAGTTTGAGAGTTGAGATTTACAGGCTGAGCCATGTTGGAAACTTCAAACTTGATGAACTCAATTTTTTGCAATGAAACAAATAAATTGATATTTATATCGGATGCTTGACAAAAAAATATTGCTAATTAAGATTTATTGCATATGGATGGCGGAATTAGGCTAAAACGCTTCTGCTATCTGTAGCAAACGTTTTCACACAAAAGGTCAGTCAAAATAAATTGATGAATAATTAAGATCAAACACAACATCAAATATCATAAAATATACACACCATCATCAATATCAGCGTAAGGATTCATCGTTGGTGATTAAACTCAAACCGTCAAACGTTTGTTGAAGCTCTCTCAGCCTCTCGAAGAGACCGAGACTCGGCGTCGCAGCAACAACCAGCGCTTGCTTAGCCCTCACTAAACTCCCGCTTGTAACTAGAGTCTCAACAATCAAGTGACTGTAGTGAGACTGCGTTGAGTCCGTAGTCCGTACGCAATAGTGTAAAAAAAGTTCAAACGTAACTAATGCCTTATACGAAACTAAATAAGGAAAACAGTAGCAATAGTGAATGAAATAATTAGAAAAAGAATGCTTTTGAGCAGTAAAATTGAATATTTCGGAATATAATATATTAAAATGAAAAAATACAAGTATATGACTAATTTTTTTTTTCAACATAGTAAATTTTACGTACTTTCGGACATTTTTTACAGCTGGACTCGCGGCCGGTCTCCTAATTTCAGTGAATCTAAAATATCTGCTAAACTAATGAACTCAGTTCGATTAAACTTTGCACATGTGCTCAATAGGCCCATACGGAAATGTCAAAGTCACGACAATTTTTTTCGATTTCGCCTTTATTTGCGAATTGCGAGTTATGTGATAGCGGTCTAAATTTCACAATGAGCTTTACATGTATTGTATTCTACTGTTTTGAATTTAACGAAACTTTAATAGACATTCCTAAACACCTAGTAGTGATGATTAGGTCGTGCACATTTTTTCGAATTCGCCTTCATTCGCGAGTTATATGGCTATAAGGAGAAACAACTGCCATTTCTGCGCGCGATTGTTAAATTTGCTGAGAACATTGAATATCTCCCGATTCCCGAAGCGATGAACGTAGCGCCATGAAACTTTGAGCATGTATTCTCGCATTCATTCAGGGTGGAGTTCAACGGTTTAGGTCATGATAATTTTTTCGACATCACCTTAGTTTGCGACGTAAGTGAACTGTAATAAACTGATAACTTTAATTTCATTTATGTATATACTGGATTTCGCGTATAGCCTTATGCATCGCAAACGACGGCGAATTCGCAGAAATGCTCCCGACCTTTACATCACCCTTAGGTCCTAATGAAGGCATCTAAAAAATTTCATCGAGATTCTTTCAGTTGTTTCGGCCTAGGAGATAATCTATGTACACTGATGCAGACGGTCGGAGTGATACTTTGACATTCAGCCCGCAGAAATGGTGGTCACAAACATCTACCTATAACGTCTTCGCTAAGAAGTGTTCTCATACGATGTAAGCCTCGAAATTAGGTTCATGTTTCGTTGGAGTTGGCTAGAACTGCAGAATCTCTGACATGTGATTTTCGCAAGGAGATGAGTAAATGAATTGACGAGAGATTCAACCTTGTCTCGAGTTGGTTGAAATTTGTCGCGTACCTGGTCAGAAGTTAGAAAACCAAATATAGTTAGTATCTATGGAACCAATGAACAGAAGTCATCGTCGTGAACACCGTCGCTACACTTTTGAGCACAATTTTTCGAAAAAATTTTGAGCCAAAATTTTAGAATGCACTCATGAAGCACCTTTACCATGTAAAATTTCTCATTTCGATACCTATATCAACCAAATTGAAACCCAACTCATTGCCCCTATCAGTGCTGGGCAGCGCCACTTTGAAATATAGCGGCCGCTACCGCTACATGCACTAAATATAACGGGCGCTACCACTAGAGGTGATAATCATTAATAACAGGTGATAATCCCCAGGTGATAATCATTAATTTTAAAATTTATGTGATCATTAATTTTAAGATTGGGTGGTCTAGTGGTTAAAGTACCAAGATTGGAGCAGAGAGGTGCGGGTTCGATCCCAGCTCTGTGCGCTAGTTTCTGGTCAGAATCGGCGAGGAGGCCGGGCGGTTAATTAACTAAGCACAGCAGAATTGTATCAGTGAGTTGCGAGTTCGAGACCGCAAAATGCTGGGAATGTTCTGCTATGTTAAGAATCGGCGACAGGCCTACGGCCTAATTAACGCTGAAACCGCTATTATTTTTATTAAGATTGATGGAAAGAGAAGTGCTCTAATTTAGCTATTTACATATATTAAAGACGAAGTTTTTTTTATAACGGGCCACATGTTTACTGTTGAGTATGTAACCCGTTGTTATTGTTGTGCTACAAATTTAGTAAGAAGCGAGAAAATGTGAGAGCCATTGAACTAGATGGTTCGTTGGAGCGCCCCTGGATTTTACAGTTCAGGCATGGTGTCGGCATCTGGCGGCTTGTAACAGACTTGACAGTTATCAACGATCCTACGTATTAGAAAATGTAGCACATTTACTTCGAAATGGGAAATCAACGGCGTGAAGAGATTCGCGAAAAGAATATTGCTGAAAATATTAGGATGACACCACTAGCTTTCTTATTGTCTCTGTATATAATTATCTCGACGTGCAGGATGTTTACACACTGCACAAGTTTGAAGACAAACAATGAAGGGATGTTTTGGCATTCGCTGCAAATGACAATTAAATTAAAATTTCCATAAAATATGACGCTTGTTGCCATGTTATATGCTCATTATGAGTGAGCCAGCAAAACTTGAATATTTATTAAAGCAAAACCAACTGCAAACTGCAGCAAAGTTTAAGGTACATATATTAATTATATTATATTATATGATTTAAAATATTATATTATAATATTAATGTAGGATAGTGTATTAAATTATGTTATGTTATATGATATAATATTGTAATTTATTCTTACATATTAAAAAAGCTAAAAAATTGCTTCGTTTCATAAATTCACACGGGCGAGAAGACACTTCAAAGAACACAAATTAAAATTCGTTGATTGATTGGAAACCATTTTGGTATCACTATTCATTTTGTACACGAACTTCACATGCATTTCTTTATTTCGTTTGTTATTTTTCAATGTAATGATTTTTTTTTTCTTACTATCTCGACCGACACTTCTGCCAAGTTGCTGATTGCAGTTGCTTCTTCTATCAGTTCAATGGCAAGCTTTGACAAGACAGCATCACACTCTTTTAATCTCAATGTAAATTGCTGCTTCATTTTATTTCGTTATTCAAATTTGAGTCGTAATGTCATAAAGAGTAACAGTGACCTCGCACTAAATATCTTTTATTTCTTTTCCCAGGAAACCAACCGGAGCCAGGTTAAATATTGCGACGGATCTCTCTTCGTCCAAAATGATTTCCTTTCAAATTTGTATCGGAGTTGTGATGATCTTCATCTTGAGCCATTGCGTCGCAGTTGACGCCATTAACATCAAAGGATCTGCTCGTTTCTGGAAGATTGAAAACCCATCGAAAAGCACGGGTCTCCGTGGGATCCAAGATTCATCGACTTCTGTTGAGTTTTCTACAGTCAGTTCAGTCATTACAGAAACATCGCCTCGTTACGAATCTATTGAGTTAAGAGATAACGTTCATGTTCAAATGGCATCTCCTGTGTGTAATTACTGTTCAGGATTATGTCAAATTAACGACGCGAAATGCGATTGTCGTATTGACATCGAATGTATGAAACGCTGGACAAAGAATCGAAATCGAAAACGATTTGGAAGAAATGGACAGCTTTGCAAACCCTGCGCAGGATTGTGTGATGAGCCAAACGAAGATTGCGTTTGCCTGACTAACTTTAATTGTATGTTCAACAACTGATGAGTTACAGCTACGCCCATAAATGGTTGAAATATCTAAACGTCACTGCGTGCTTCCTCATGTTGGTTCTATCAACGCAGATAAAACATAAATGTATCTTTTTCTTTATCAAAAGTTCAAGGCTTCGTTTGACCACCAAAAATTCAACCATTTAAAACATGCAAGCACTGTTACAATTGCAGGGTTTGACTGTCAGTGAAATATTATTACATTTCTGATTTCATTTGGCTTTTAATTGTTGCATTTCTGCTTTCACTTGGCTTTTTTCTTTCGTTACAACTTTCAAGGTATAATGCATTTTAATTGAGAATTTATTCGATATTTTATCCAAGGCTTAAATTCGTGTACGATGGTGTGGAACCGATTAGACTTATATTCACAAGCATATGTACATTTTAATTTCTCTTCTTATACTTATAGGGAGCGTAGAAATAACAAATTATACCCTAATTTTTCGGTCCGAGATGGTTTCTGATTTCATGTGCTTTTCCGTTCTTTCCAGTATGATTAGTTTTTCGTGATCTATTATTGTTGACGTTGTTAGGGAACGCCGTGCAGTACATTTTTTGACTAATTGTTAGGTTAATTGTATTTTTAATTCGGGTTTATAGTCACCCCTTACGTGACCTTGTAGAGAAATGCTAAATGTTACGTGCTTATTCATTGTTTTTTGCGATCCACCACATAGGTGATCTTGAGTGATTTGTATTGGTGACTATGAATATTATTACTTGCATGAATCTGTAACTTATTTCTGCCAAGTTTGCGTTTTATTATGATTTGTTCGGTTTAGATTCGTACAAGTCCTATTAATATTATGCGTTTCTTCAATTATTTCTGAAAGGCTCCGAACGTGCGACTCGATCATGGTTTAATAGACAAGAGCTTAGGGAAAATGCGGTTTATATGTTTATTTTTTATTGTTTTTTTTTTAAAGCTTGTTCTTTAATACAGTTTTCAGCTATGTTCTTATTCATCCTTACATGTAATTGTTGGCTGTACGATCAGACTAGCCGAGTTGATGTGTTTCGGTGACCTTATAGCAACGGGATGATTCTATGAATTTTATAAAAGTTTTTTTACTCCATTACCCGATGCATACTGTTCCTTAATATTTACCGACCGATTTTTTCTTAGTAATTGTACTACACTTGCAGCCTATATCAATGTCCGGGCATAGACGAGAGTAAACTCATGAGTTAAAAAAAGGAATATTCCCTCATTGTGACAGTTGTTTCTCATAGGAATGGTGTACTAACATTTTACAAACAACATGCTTTTCCGATAGCGGATCGCTGCTAACGTGCGGAAACGTGCGTTTCCGATAGCGGATCGCCGCTAACGTGCGGAAACGTGCGTTTCCGATAGCGGATCGCCGCTAACGTGCGGAAACGTGCGTTTCCGATAGCGGATCGCCGCTAACGTGCGGAAACATGCGTTTCCGATAGCGGATTTTATATTCCTGCTCAGTGGCTGTAAAATTTCAAGGTATGTAGGTTTTATCGTTAATGAACT